TTTTTTTTTTAATTTATTTTTATACTTCTCCAATTATGGGATTGAATTTTTTTTTGACATACTTTTCTCCGACAAGAATTTTAAAGGGGTATAGAAAAATTTTTAAATTTGATTACAGACTGAAAAAAAATTATAGGTGAAATTATTTAAGGGGATTTAAGTGATTATTTTATAAGGAAATTGGGGTAGGGAAAATTTTAGTTGTTTTTTTTTATGTTCATCTTTAAATTAAGGATGGACACGATTTCTTATCTTTTTACACTGCGGCATTTGTCCATTCACTTTCTGGTTTCCTTCCTTGTTTGTTTTTGCTCGTCCTGTCTGTTGTTTTGACATTGGGAGTCTTATCTTTTGATGATCGATGTAGTCTTTTTTCGAAGGTCCTGCTGTCTTTGCCGATTCTCCCATTTTAAAATTAGGGGGTCTTATCTCATATTTGTCCTCAACCCACTTTTTTCTTGCTTTTTTATATAATTGGGTATTTTCCTGATAAGTTTGTTTTGGACTTGGTTTTGTTAAGTTAGTATGTGTGCTCAAGTCATTTTTTATTTGGGAAATATTTTTAATATCGCGAATATTTTTAAATTTATTATTTTCTATTAATTTTAATTGTATTTTCTCCATTTCCTTTATTTGACAATTTTTAATTAACGATTTCGCGATTAATTTACCTGTTTGTAAATCTAGGAATAATGGAAGGCTTTTCAGGGTTTCTCTTCCAATAATTACATCATATTTTCCTGTTTTACTAATTTCATTTTCTAATATTACAATCTGCGTTAAAATTTCACAACCTGCTATTTGAAAAATTATTTCTCCTTGGCCAAGCGTGGGTACAATTTTATTTCCTATACCAACTATGGCGCTTAAATCAGCGGGAAAGATTTCCTTTATTTTTAATTTTTCTGCGGTTTCTCTTCCAGTCAGGGATACGTGTGCTCCTGAATCTAATAGGCAAATTATTTCTTTTCCATTTATTTTTGTTTTTATTCTAAACCATTCATCGCATGTATTGTCATAACCAGGTGCGATTTCTGCAACATTAATTTCTTTCTCTGGCTCAGACTTTTTATTTTTTCGCAGGTTTTTAATTATTTTAAATAAAATTGGTTTTATGAAAAACATTAGTAAAAATAGTACAGTACTAACACCTAGAAGAGCTAGAAATATCAAAATCTGATTTAATGTAAGCAATCTCATATAATTTGTGCTTAATATGCTCTCTTTAGGTAATTCTGTTATTTCCCAATTGTTGTTTATTGTTTTCTCTTTAAAGGTAAAGGGTGAGTAAGGTAAAGGGTGAGTATACAATTAACGCAGATTGTAATATTAGAAAATGAAATTAGTAAAACAGGAAAATATGATGTAATTATTGGAAGAGAAACCCTGAAAAGCCTTCCATTATTCCTAGATTTACAAACAGGTAAATTAATCGCGAAATCGTTAATTAAAAATTGTCAAATAAAGGAAATGGAGAAAATACAATTAAAATTAATAGAAAATAATAAATTTAAAAATATTCGCGATATTAAAAATATTTCCCAAATAAAAAATGACTTGAGCACACATACTAACTTAACAAAACCAAGTCCAAAACAAACTTATCAGGAAAATACCCAATTATATAAAAAAGCAAGAAAAAAGTGGGTTGAGGACAAATATGAGATAAGACCCCCTAATTTTAAAATGGGAGAATCGGCAAAGACAGCAGGACCTTCGAAAAAAGACTACATCGATCATCAAAAGATAAGACTCCCAATGTCAAAACAACAGACAGGACGAGCAAAAACAAACAAGGAAGGAAACCAGAAAGTGAATGGACAAATGCCGCAGTGTAAAAAGATAAGAAATCGTGTCCATCCTTAATTTAAAGATGAACATAAAAAAAAACAACTAAAATTTTCCCTACCCCAATTTCCTTATAAAATAATCACTTAAATCCCCTTAAATAATTTCACCTATAATTTTTTTCAGTCTGTAATCAAATTTAAAAATTTTTCTATACCCCTTTAAAATTCTTGTCGGAGAAAAGTATGTCAAAAAAAAATTCAATCCCATAATTGGAGAAGTATAAAAATAAATTAAAAAAAAAATACAAGAGGAGAACTTAAAAAAAAATCCCTCGATTTAAAGAAGCTAAAGTAGAACCTTAAAATGGCTTCTAAAATAAAATTTTTTGTTTTAAAGAATGCAATTTGTAGCAAATAAACAAATTAAAAAATAGATAAAATATAATCTCCTCCGTTTAATTTAATAAGCATGACGTGGACGTCATCTTAATTAAGGGGGAAGGAATGCTGCATTCGCATAAACAAATAAACAAATTAAAAAATAGCTTTTCTCAAAAATATAAATAATGATAAGAATTGACCTGCCATCTCAATTAAAGAGATTCCCGACTTTCCCAATCTAATATTTATTACCGACCAATCTTTATCTCTTAATATTCACATTTTGTATTAATATTTATTAACCCATTTCTCGACCTGTCCATCCCAATAACAATATTTGTTTGCCTAAATTTCCACTATATATATCCGCCACATTTTCACCTATTTCGTCTTATATTGAACTTTACCTTTTAACTTTTAACTCTTTAATTTATAATATTATAACCCCTTGAATAAAAATATATTTAATCTTCATTTGACCAAGGCTTAGAACCGAGGGTAATTAGAGTGAACTTACAAACAGTTCATTTGGTGCCACTTAATCCGGGTGAAAAGCCTTGAGAGAAAAAGAATTTGTTTGAAGGATATTTTAATCCTGAAAAGAGCTTGTTCTAAAGAGTGTTAAGAGAAATTGTGGGAGGAAGATACCCCACGTAATTAATTAATTTAAAAAAAAAACGAGGTAGACTGCTTGGTGCTCTATCCTCCTGCTTGGTGCAACGGTTAAAGTAGAGGAAATTGCTGGGTGCAATCCTCAGTTTAAAAAAAAAAGAGAGGAACTGGATTTTCCACTCTCAGAAAAGCTCTATAAAGGATTTCCTGCCCCTGAAAACATTTTCTGGAGTATCTTAGAAATGGATAAAAATCAGACACAAACAACTGGATCAGATTTTGCGAATAAATTTTTTACGCCTGAAGAAGGTCGTCATTGGAATAACTTATTATTTCGATTACGGAGCTTTGAAGAGGCTGTATGCAAAAATTTCCGTAAAATCGAGTCAAAAATTACTGAAGGACAAAATTTGCCATCAAATTCGTCCTCATCTGAAATTGATGAAATAAATGCTTTAATAGATGGAAAATTTGAAAAATTAGAAAATCAATTTAAAAATTTGAAACAAATTGTAAAAGAAGAAATATCAAATTTAGGAGTTGATAATGATTTAAACAAAACAAAAATGAAAGAAATTGAAAATAAAATGGATGATAGAGAATTAAAAGATGAATTAGTCTTTTTGCGCTCTAAAAATATGGAAATAGAAAAAGAACAAATTTCACAAATCCAACGCCTAGACATTCTAGAGGAAGGGATGGAAAAGGTTGAGGATAATTTAACTAAAAGTGAGCAAAAAATAGCAGAAATTATTACTAAAAATGCGCGTAAATTAATTGATAAAATTGAAAGTCTTGAGGCAAAAGTAGAAGTCTTAGAAAATGGATCGCGAGGATCCGGATTTTCTTGGAATGGTCATGGAAGTGAAGAATCAGTTGACCTAAATCTCAAGACTAAACCTCCTGAAAAAGCGTCGGAAGCTGCTGAGAAATCCATTACTGGAGAAAATGTTGAAATTATGATCGGAGACCCATTCTTAAACGGTCTAATGACCCCTGTCGGAGTCTATGATGGAAACCCGACTAGCTCATTCTCGAAATTTTTCCAGCGATTTATGGATGCTCTAAATTTAATAATTACCCCTCTAAATGAAGCACAAAAGCTTAGTCGTCTAAAAGTGTGCCTGGGAGGTCGCGCTCGTGCTGAACTTGATGCTAAATTCCCACAACCAGCTACTCTGCAAGAAGCTATAGATTTCTTGCAAGAAAAATTCGTAAATGGACATTCTCGTACAGTAGCTCGCCAAGCCTTATCTATTATTAAACAAGCACCTGGCGAAAGAGTTTTTGAATTTGCGCAGCGTTTAAATGACGCAGTACGTGCTGTAATGATTGGATATGAAGAAAATACGATACAACAGCGATTGCTAGATGAATTTTTGGATCGGCTTATGCCAGACCTTCAATTCGAAGTTAAAGCTGCTAGACCTGATGACTATTCAAAGGCATTCGAAGTTGCCGAACATTTCGAATTACTATTGAACGAAAAACGCCAAAAACATCAATATGTAGATTTAGCAGAAAAAGTGGAAGCCCTAGCAATTAATCGGTCTAGAGAAATAAGACGCTTATGCTATTACTGCCATAAACCTGGACATGTAATAGCGGATTGCCGAAATAGATCAAGAAAAAATTATAAATCCCGCCAATATAATAATTATGAGCGAAGAAATTATCAAAATAATTATTGGGAAAATAGACAAAATTATAGAAATGAATATAATAGAGATAACAGCAGATATAATGATAGAAATCGCGAAAATTCTAGAGAAAGTTCACCAAATAATTATAGCCGCTCGCCCACTAGAAGAGTGAGATTCAGCGAAAGCCGAGTTGCAAGTCCATTAAGAATATCTAGCCCTTATTTGCTAACAATTTTTGCACTTATTGCTATTATAAGTCCCACTTTGGCTAGCTATGGAGCACAAATTGAAATGAATTGTCCCGCATACTCACCCTTTACCTTTAAAGAGAAAACAATAAACAACAATTGGGAAATAACAGAATTACCTAAAGAGAGCATATTAAGCACAAATTATATGAGATTGCTTACATTAAATCAGATTTTGATATTTCTAGCTCTTCTAGGTGTTAGTACTGTACTATTTTTACTAATGTTTTTCATAAAACCAATTTTATTTAAAATAATTAAAAACCTGCGAAAAAATAAAAAGTCTGAGCCAGAGAAAGAAATTAATGTTGCAGAAATCGCACCTGGTTATGACAATACATGCGATGAATGGTTTAGAATAAAAACAAAAATAAATGGAAAAGAAATAATTTGCCTATTAGATTCAGGAGCACACGTATCCCTGACTGGAAGAGAAACCGCAGAAAAATTAAAAATAAAGGAAATCTTTCCCGCTGATTTAAGCGCCATAGTTGGTATAGGAAATAAAATTGTACCCACGCTTGGCCAAGGAGAAATAATTTTTCAAATAGCAGGTTGTGAAATTTTAACGCAGATTGTAATATTAGAAAATGAAATTAGTAAAACAGGAAAATATGATGTAATTATTGGAAGAGAAACCCTGAAAAGCCTTCCATTATTCCTAGATTTACAAACAGGTAAATTAATCGCGAAATCGTTAATTAAAAATTGTCAAATAAAGGAAATGGAGAAAATACAATTAAAATTAATAGAAAATAATAAATTTAAAAATATTCGCGATATTAAAAATATTTCCCAAATAAAAAATGACTTGAGCACACATACTAACTTAACAAAACCAAGTCCAAAACAAACTTATCAGGAAAATACCCAATTATATAAAAAAGCAAGAAAAAAGTGGGTTGAGGACAAATATGAGATAAGACCCCCTAATTTTAAAATGGGAGAATCGGCAAAGACAGCAGGACCTTCGAAAAAAGACTACATCGATCATCAAAAGATAAGACTCCCAATGTCAAAACAACAGACAGGACGAGCAAAAACAAACAAGGAAGGAAACCAGAAAGTGAATGGACAAATGCCGCAGTGTAAAAAGATAAGAAATCGTGTCCATCCTTAATTTAAAGATGAACATAAAAAAAAACAACTAAAATTTTCCCTACCCCAATTTCCTTATAAAATAATCACTTAAATCCCCTTAAATAATTTCACCTATAATTTTTTTTCAGTCTGTAATCAAATTTAAAAATTTTTCTATACCCCTTTAAAATTCTTGTCGGAGAAAAGTATGTCAAAAAAAAATTCAATCCCATAATTGGAGAAGTATAAAAATAAATTAAAAAAAAAATACAAGAGGAGAACTTAAAAAAAAATCCCTCGATTTAAAGAAGCTAAAGTAGAACCTTAAAATGGCTTCTAAAATAAAATTTTTTGTTTTAAAGAATGCAATTTGTAGCAAATAAACAAATTAAAAAATAGATAAAATATAATCTCCTCCGTTTAATTTAATAAGCATGACGTGGACGTCATCTTAATTAAGGGGGAAGGAATGCTGCATTCGCATAAACAAATAAACAAATTAAAAAATAGCTTTTCTCAAAAATATAAATAATGATAAGAATTGACCTGCCATCTCAATTAAAGAGATTCCCGACTTTCCCAATCTAATATTTATTACCGACCAATCTTTATCTCTTAATATTCACATTTTGTATTAATATTTATTAACCCATTTCTCGACCTGTCCATCCCAATAACAATATTTGTTTGCCTAAATTTCCACTATATATATCCGCCACATTTTCACCTATTTCGTCTTATATTGAACTTTACCTTTTAACTTTTAACTCTTTAATTTATAATATTATAACCCCTTGAATAAAAATATATTTAATCTTCATTTGACCAAGGCTTAGAACCGAGGGTAATTAGAGTGAACTTACAAACAGTTCATTATCCTCAAGTTGTTCTATAAGTTCATGTAACGTCATAATTCCACTAAAAGGTGGCGGATCTCCAGGATAAAGAAAATATCCTTCTTCCATTTAATTAGAAAAATATTTGTCTTAAAATTAGAAAGATTTATTAGAAAATTGAAATACCAAACTCAAATCTCTTCAAATTGAGACGCGCCACATTTCGTTCTACCCTGACTAGTCTAAAAAATTTTTGTGACGTTTGTGCTTCTGATTTCTGTCTGAATTTGTGACCGGTAAGATCGTATTTGCGGGATCCCACATGCGGGATTTTTTTAAATCTTTGCGGGACGGGATCCCGCGGGGCAAATCTCGCACTCCCGCTAATCGAAAAAACCGCGGGATTGTGGGGCGGGATCCCTCGCGCCGGTCACTAGTCTGAATTAGAGATCGGCACGGGAGGGACCCCGGGCGGGATTTCACGGGATCCCGTCCCGAAATCCCGGGTTTTTAGCGACGAGCGGGATTACCGGGATTAATCCCGCGGGATCCCTCCCGTTAGATCTTTTGAAACTCAATCCCGTTACGGGATCCCGGAAATGCTATTTTGCCGATCTTTAGTCTGAATCGACCTGTATTGGCCTATTATGAATTGGCCATTCTGAACCGGCTCCCCTTATCATATTTCTCAATAATCAAACTTTAAAATTTTTCAAATATTTTCTAAAATGCGATTTTGCTCAAGTAAATTACTTGTTCTGCCTCACGAAATAAAAGCTTTAACTACTTTTATTCGAACAAATACAACAACATCTACACATTTTGGATTTGAAAAAATTAAAGAAGAAGAGAAACAACAAAGAGGTTTTCTTTGGTTTTTTAAGGGTGCAGCCCAAAACGGCGCGAGGCCCTAACGGCGCAAAGCCATAACTTGCTGAAACATATCTGGCTCTTGTCAATTTTGGTACCAATCTCTTTAGCTCGATGGGAGGACTCGTTTGATACTAAATTTGATGAAATTCGGAAATTTGAAGCAAGTTATGGCCTCGCGCCGTTATGGCCTCGCGCCGATTTGGGCGTGTCCTGTTTTTTAATAAATTTAATTCCCCCTCTAATTTTTACAGTCAAAACAGTTTTCTCAAATGTTGCAAAGAAATATGATTTAATGAATGATGCAATGAGTTTATTTATTCATCGATTGTGGAAAGATTATTATGTCCAGAATTTGCCGTTAAATAAAAATTGTAAAGTTGTGGATGTGGCGGGAGGTACTGGGGATATTGCTTTTCGAATTGCTGAAAGGATGGGGGCAAATGGGAATGGCGCTGTTACTATTGTGGATATTAATGAGGTTTGTATTGATTTTGTATTAGACAGTTTGGGGACGTTTAAGTCATCTTTGGTTTAGTGGGTTAGTTTTAAGTTTACCAGTGGATAGGTGGGGGTTCGAGTCCGACTGAAGGGGAAATATTTTTTATTTGGTTTCTAATAAAAATAAAAACAAATTAGACCATTTGGAGTGTCTTGATTTTTTATATTTAACAGTTAAAGGGCGTTTAAGTCATCTTTGGTTAAGTGGGTTAGATCTAAGTTTAGCAACGGATAGGGGAGGGGTTCGAGTCCGACTGAAGGCATATTTTTTATTTGGTTCCTAATGAAAATAAAAACAAATTAGACCATTTGGAGTGTCGGATCATATTTTTTTGAGTTACCAAACTTAATTTTTACTCTATTTTAGAATATGTTAGAAGTAGGAAAGCTTCGAGTACCTCCAAATTATGCTAGCCATTTAAATTGGGTTACAGCTAATGCAGAATCTCTTCCTTTTGAGGACAATTCTTTTGATATTTACACAATAGCTTTTGGAATAAGAAATTGTACACATCCAGAGAAAGTTTTGAATGAAGCTTTTCGAGTGTTAAAACCTAGAGGTTTTTTTTTAATTTTTTGTTTAAGAAATGGGTAATAGTGTCGTTTCCCAGCCCCATTTTTTCCTCCCAATTTTCTACCCTATGTTTTTACGGAATGGTCAAATTTTCCCCTTTCTTTCATCAAATTTGCCTTTCCATATTTTGCCTAAAAACAATCAAAAAGATTAATTTTTGATATTTAAAAAAGTATTAGAGTAATGAGAAGAATCATTTTCCCAATTAATAAAAATGGAAGAACTAAAGAATTTCAAACCTATTGATTTATATGAAAAATTACGTTTGAGTGATAATGATTTCGATGCATGGCTTGAGAAGCTTGGACTTCTTCATGGAAAGAGAACTTGCTACAAATGTGGGGGTCGAACAACAATAAGTGTTAAGAAAGACGAAAGATATGGATGTTGGCGGTGTACAACCAAAAATTGTAGAGCAAGACAAGGTTCTTTTTTTAAGTTTTTTTAAAAAAATCTTCTCTCTCATTACTCTAATACTTATTTAAATATCACAAATTAATCTTTTTTGATTGTTTTTAGGCAAAATATGGAAAGGCAAATTTGATGAAAGAAAGGGGAAAATTTGACCATTCCGTACAAACATAGGGTAGAAAATTGGGAGGAAAAAATGGGGCTGGGAAACGACACTATTACCAAGAAATGATTTTTAATTTTTAAGGGATGTTCTCTTGTTTGGAATTTGGAAAAGTCAACAATCCTGTTATTCAGAATATTTATGGTTAATTTCTAATTTATTTTTTAAAAATCATTGAAATCCTAGTTAATTAAAAAATTTTATTTTCCCCTATTTCCTTGATTTTTACTGACTCTTATTCTTGCCTATAAGTAGAGGTTGGGATGGTTTTGGATTTTTAAGTTATTTTTAATGGGAGCTACTCCAAAATTTGGTTCAGTCTTCACCTCTTTCCACTATCAATTAAGAATTTAATTTTCACAAGAACTAAATACCCCTTTAGTTATTGTGAAAAATTGTACCATACATATAATGATTCTGACCCTATCCGAAAGGAATGCCGGCATCCAATTTTTTCTTTCCTCCTCGAATGAAAAAAAGCCGAAAAATTAACCTTTTCTTTCTCATTCGAGGAGGAAAGGAAAAATTGGATGCCGGCATTCCTTTTGGATAGGGCCATGATTCTCGTACATCGTGAATATTCTTGGTCAGCTATCCTTGTCTATTGGCTAACAAAATTAAAAAAATATTTTAAATTGAAGTTTTTTCTAACATTGGGTTATCTAAAAATTCGAGGTCGATTTTATCTAAATTTTTGTTTTCGATATTCCTACGGAGAATAAATAAAAAACATAAAATTTTTATTTTTTCTTTTTTCAGATCTTTACAGTTTTCAACTAATCCCAGTCATTGGACAACTTTTAGTTGGTGATTTTAATAGTTACAAATATTTGGTTGAAAGTATTCGTGTCTTTCCTGATCAACAAAAATTCTCAAAAATGGTTAAAGAAGCAGGTTTTAATAATGTTACTTTTGAAGAATTAAATTTTGGAATTTGTAATATTTATTGTGGAAGTAAATAAATTTTTTTAGAAAATTTATTTTTTATTTTTTTGCTTAATTCGTTGTTAAAGACTGACAAATTATTATTTTTAAAATTTTTTTTATGAATTTAATATTTTTTGGCTCGCTTTAAATTCGGCCCAAGACCGTTTTGCAAGAAAACGAATAGGAAGTTTGGGGTCCTCTATCGAATAATATCAAAAATATCGAATTTGCATGACAATACTAAAAGAGGATTAATTGACAGTCATTTTTTATAAGAAACCCACATTTTTTTTGAAATTTTCCCTGTTGCCCGAAAAACATTAACTTTAATATTCCAAGTTTATGTGAGCATGTCAAGGGTCTTGAACTTTTTCCCTTGGACTTTTTTTTCGACACGAACCCCAACCTAACTTTTCAACCCATGATATCTCTAGTTTATATTTTCTGTTTAGATAATTTTAAATATTTTAACCTATTTTAATGGTCAAAAAGATGTGTAAAGCTTTAGGTATGTTAAATGTACTTGCTTCTCGTGCTTTTACAACATCTAATATTCGGGCTTTGAGGTTGTTTTTTAATTTTAAATTTTCTTTTAATTTTTTGAAGATTCGGCTCGCAAAGAACTCAGCAATCAGATATTTTTCAAGTTGGAGCTTTTTTGCCTGAAAATAGTAAAAGTCAAATTTATCAAAAAGGGCAGTTATTTGTTCATAAAATTTTTGCTTATAGGTTTGTTGAGTTTTTAAATTTAGTTTTGCTTATAAAATTGAGGGAGAATTTTGTGAAATTTATTTCCAATCTTTTTTTAGCTAGGGATCTGGTAAGGAACCTTTCTTTACTGTGGCCTTAACTTGTTTTTTAAATTTTTGCAAAAAAAACGGATAGCACTTTGCAATAGTAAGTCGGGGGTCCTCTATCGAATGGTATCAAAGAAATAACGAATTCGTGGTCACAATAAAAAATGGTTCCTTGAGAGAGGTACCACAATATTCGCTTTTGCCATCGTCAATTTTTGGTGATGGTTTACTGAAAAAGCTTGGAGATGGCAAGCCAATTCACATGTATGGGAAATAGGGCTGGACGCAATTGCGTATTATGTAAAATTTAATGGTTTTGACTTGCAGCTGCGAAAATTTTTTTGGCTGCGTTCAGCCCTGATTAAAGCAACTTTTCCCGAAAATTACTTGTTGGCGTCAGAATTCTGGCAATAAATAATAGCGGATATTAGAACACCTTTTGTATTCAGACAATGACCCATTTACTTAATACATCTTAAATTTTGATATCTTTCCTTGAATTTTTGAATGAATTTTTAAATTTTCTTCCACAATCTAAACAAAATTTTCCTCAATTTTCTTATATTTTTATTATTTTTTAATCGAAAATTAAAATATTTTTTTAGAGGAATTATCGTCAAGTCTACAAATTGTGTTATTTATTCTAGAAGAAGGTTTATTTATTTTAATTTTCTAAATAAATTTTTTGTTTAAGTGTGAATACACCACTTGAAGAATCCTTTTATTATCAAGTTCTTATTGATAGTGACGATTGGAACGAAATGGTTTTTTAAATTTATTTTAAGTTTTTGGGATCTAATGTCATCTTTTGGGGTTTTCTAATTTTTTTTGAGAGGGTTTTGGACTCTGTCCGTAAGATGAGCTAAATTTTACTACAAACTGATTATAGTTAAAAGAGGTTAGTAAATAGAATAAATTTTTTGAAGACTTGCGGACAAAATTTGCGGAATTTTTGGAGCATAATGTAAAGAACAAAGGGTTTTTTTCTAAAAAGTTTGATTAAATCACCTAGGTATCCTGTTCTTTATTTTGTATTTTTCTGAAATAAAACCGAGCTTTCGACTAGAAAATCGCCTTTTCTTTCCTCTAACAAGAGAACATTCCGAACTGTATGTGAAAATTTTGTATTTTTTCTGTACCATCGTGTAGAGCAGGGCCGAAAACCTTTTTTGGCCTTTTGGCCCTGACCCCCATTTCGAAAAGTTATAGGGGTTAAAAGTTAGACCGCTTGAGTATACTTGTACAACTTATGTATTAAAGAGAAAAATGATACGATGGTCTTCACGATGGTGCAAAAAAAAATACAAAATTTTCACATAAAGTTTGGAAGTTCCCTTGCAAACTCAGTAGTTTTCTTTCAGCATTTTCCCTATAATTTGACTACATGCCTCAATTCTATTGGAAATATGGAACAAAAAAATAAAACAGAATATAACGGAATGGATATAGTTGCACATGATGAAATTCGGCCATATCAAAATTTACAAAATTTGGCTGATGAAACGCCACCGATTAAAAATGAACATATTTATCAATGCTTTCCTACGCCAAATTTGTTGGAGGAAGGTTTGGAATTGGGAAGCCTTGGTATGGTTCGATACGCCTCGACGAGCTGAATCCAACCATACCAAGTTATCTTAGATTCTCGACAATTTTAAACGAAGTTATAGCCTCGGCGGTAGGTTGGGGTGTACCCTAAAAAAGTGATGTTTTGTATAAGTAAGAATAACTTTGAAGCCCTATAACTTTTAGAAATAGGAGTCAGGGCAAGAAAAGCCTGGCACCAAAATAGGTTTTCGACCACGCTCTACACGATGGTGTGTAGAGCGTGGTCGTAAACGTAACAAAATTTTTGGTGATAATTCGCGGTGTTCCCTTGTTATAGTTATAAATGAAAAAGCAACAGCAGACTTTTTTTCGTTTCTAGAGCCGTAGCCAACGTTTTTTTTCCTAATTTTCTACACTCTTACCTCTCCAGATTTTGATTCTAATTTGAAACCCTTTTAATCTTCTTTTTTAAGTTTTAGGTTTTGAAACGGAAACATTTCAACAAGGATTGGAATTTAATCAATTGTTAGTTTAATTTTAAGAATATTTTTTTAAATTAAAATTTTATTTTTTAGACTTCCCCAAGCTGTCTACAAACATTTGACAGATTTAAATGAAGTACAAGTTATTCCTTTTTATTTGGGAATTAATGGAAGGGATGGACAAAATTTTCATCTTTGGCGTTGTCTTTTTCGAATAAGAAATTTGGGGAAGAAAGTGGTTAAACTTCAAGATATAAAATTGGATACGTCTACTTTAGATGGTTATTATACAAGTTTGGAAGAAAGTTTAACTGAAAATTTGGTTTGTTTGAAATTTTTTTATATAGTCTTTGCGAAGGTTCGAAAACCTAACCAAAGAACTTATGTGAGGATTTTTTGGTTAGGTTAACAATAAGTTTAAATCTTTTGACTATGACAGGTTCCCTATTTACGAATAATTTCAAATCCACTTGATTCAAGGCACTATTCCCTATTTTCTGTGGATATTTCATAGTCAGCCTTTTGAGCAGAAACTCAGTTTTTTGGGATCATTTAAAATTATTTTTGGAGGGTTCTTCTGATTTTTTAAAATTTAAAAATTTTTTATAATTATTACTTCTTTCATAATTGTCAAATCCGGGATGTTCTGGTATGGCTGAATCGAACCATACCTGACCGTCCATGATTCGACCATTTTGAATGAAGTTATATCTCTGCGATACGTTGGCCTCGCAGTACGTTGGGGGTGTACCTCAGTTTCTTCCATAAATTTACTTTAGACTCTAACAATAATTTGAAATTTATTTTCTTTTTTTTTCAGGCAAAAAAATTAACTCCAACAAAGTCAGTTACCCAATTTGCCCTTCATTTTGAAATGCCAATAAGATGTGTAAAAGGAAATACTTTATGTGGTTATTTTATAGCTGAAGATGATCAAAAAAGAAAAATTAAATTAATTATTCCCTTAACGCCATTAGACTCAAATCAAATTTATAGTCAGGAACAAATGGAGACTGTGAGTTTTTTTTAAATAATTTAAAAAAGGGAAGGCAATTATGAAATGTTTTGGGGGTTTTTTAATATTTTTGGAGGTTTTTTTTTCTGATTTTTTAAATTTAAAAAGTCTTATGATGTTTTGAATTTTTATAAAAATAATTTTGAATTATAGTAAGAGAGAAGTCAATTTTAGCCTGGACGGCCTCCAATCCTAACCAAAATCCTAACCTCCAATTTTAACCAAATTGCAAAATATTTGGAGTTTTTTCAATTAAATCTAAAATTTTCAAAATTGCCAAAAAAATATTAGAATATTAAATTTTATAATTTTTAAAAATTTTTTAAGGTTTGAATATCTGTCGTTATATGCCTACATGATGATTATTTTTTTGAATTTTTTAATAAATGTATTTTTATTTGATAAAATTTTAAAATAAAATTTTTAATTGATTTAAAAAATTTTTTTATATTTTCTAAAATATTTTTTTGATTTTCATTATTTTTTAATAAAATTTAAAAAAAATTTTAGTTTTTAAATGTCAGAAATTAATCAATTAATTCAAACAGCTCGTTTAAATTTTGTTGACAGTCAATTTAGTAATTGGTTAAATGTTAATAAATATTTTAATTTACTTAAGGTTTGTTTTAATTTTGAAAGTTTTCCTAAGTTTATTTCTTGTTTGATTGAAGCATTTTTCCTGTTTAGATTTGACCTTTCAATATTTTTTTTAAATTATCCAACAACCAAAAAAATTTCATTTTATGGCATTCGGTTTTGGATCCGTAGTAGAGCCCGGCAAAATCGGTTTTGCCGGATTCGGATTTTCAACTTGAACCGGACCGGATTTTTCCGGTCCGGGAAAAATCCGGAAATCGCAAAAACCCCGGATTTGGGACCCGGACTTTGGAAAAATCTGGCCGGATCCGGTCCGGCGCCGGGCACTATCCATTTAAAAATTCTCGGACCTCGAATGGCTGCCTGAAATCACCGTTTTAATTACCCTCAAATTTTTAAAATTACATTTTTAGAATGCAGACTTGTCACTAACCGAAGATGTTTATCGTGCTTATGCAGCAATAATTGATGCTTTATTGTTACACCATTTGGACGAATCTTGTCAAAAAAATTTTCTCAATACAAAAAAGATTGCTAATTTAATATTACAGTCAGTTTTTTTTTGGAAAAATTCTGTCATATCTACCAGAAACCGATTCGGACAATTTATATGTCATTCGAAAGAGCTCCTCGAACTGAGTCGTTGACACCAAAATCAACGAAATTGAGCTTACCCCCCCCCCCCCCCCCTTATGGTTTTTAAGTTTCGGGGACCTATATCTCGGCCCATAGAAGAGTCACGAAGCTAATTTTGGTGTCATTCGACTCAGTTCGAGAAGCTCTTTCGAATGAGCTATCTTTTGTTCGAATCGGTTTCTGGTAGATTTAATTTTTCGAAATTTTCCAAAAATTTTTAGAAATTTTTTTTTAATTTTTAGGTTGGACACAATAATTCAAAAATCAACAAATATTGAAAATAAGAATTCAAAAAAATTTAAATTACTGGATTATCTGGCCAAATGCATTATTTATATGAGAACGGGTGATTTTATTAATGCTTGTGTGTTGGCTGATAAATCGGTTAATTTAAATAATTTTTTATAAAACTTTTTGGGAGGTTATTCAAAAATTCAAAAATTCTGCTAAATTTTATCGTTTTTTAGTAGAGGGGGTGAATTAAGAATCCTGTCATAAATTTACGATTTTGGGGAATCGGAATTTCCGACCAGACAACTTTGGGAATTTTTTAATTTTTGAAATTCGGGATAGCAGGATTCCTAGTTTGGATTATTAGGGAGCAGGCCAACTTACCGCAGACCTATAACTTTATTCATACTTGTCGAAGCCGGGACGCCCTGGTATGGTTCGATGCGCCTCAACAAGCTGTATCGAACCATAGTCATCCCGGATTTGACGATTTTGAACAAAGTTATAGCTCTGCGGTAAGTTGTGGTGTACTTGGAATATTAAACCTCACTAAATTTTATTTTTTTTTCTTAAATGTTAAAGATTTGAGGAAAATTACTTGAGAGATTAAAAAATAATTTTTTGATAAAAAATTAAAAAATATTTTCTCTAAAATTCTAAAATTATTTTTTTTTTCAATTTTTAGCCAATTTCTTCAAAAAAACAAAAACAATTAATTCTGGCCATTTATTCCTACAGTCTAGCTTGTGAATATGCATTTAAGGGACTTGAATTGGGTGATGATGTTGACCAAAATTTAAATGCAGTTTTGTCTCTCTATACACTCGAATTGGTTGTTTTAATTAGAAAAAATTGTGTTGATGAAAATTCTTTGCTTTTTTGTAATAATTTTATGGTTTGTTTTTTGTTTTTAAATTTATTTTAGAGGGGGGAGCATTTAAGTTGGATTACATTTTGATGTTTTGTCATTATTAGAGGGTTAATTTTTAAGTTTTCAATTTCGGATTGGGATTTTTTGTCATTATCTTCCTCCAATATTTTACAAATTTTCCAAAGGTCTGGATCTTTAAAGTGGAACTTTTAAATTTTCTTCTTTAATTTAAATGGAGGAAGGACGAGGAAGAATTTGTTTAAGACGGGGAAACAAGGTAAAAAGAGGAAAATAGGGATATGCGGGTGGAACTCTGCTTCTTTCTATATGGAAAGATATTAATCAGGGATGACAGGGTCAGAAAAAATGTCGGGTATGTTTCGAGTCGGGGTTTCAAAATTTTAGGTCTAGGTTTCAGGTCAAAAATAGATTTATTCCCAGGAAAAAGCTAAAGGATTTTGCTAATTCCTGAGGATGAGTTGCTTGGTGAAAAAAATTTTTTTAATTTTCAGTTGGGATCATTTGTCTTCAATTATACCCAAACATTTATAAATTTACCTAAAGGAAATAGAGAAAATGAATCTTTTATTTTTTGTGATCAAACAACAATTTTGAGGCGTTCAAATGAATATTTTGAGGGAGAAGCTTGTTTAAAAAGAGCATTTTTGTTGAGCGAAAATATTTATTTTTTGAGAAGATTTGTTTGGTTACTTGAAGAATTTGATGAATTTAAAGAGGGAATTTGTAAGGAGTTTTTTTAATAATTAGGGAGGTGTTTGAACGGTTATTTTGAATAAAATTAAGTTTTCGGTGGGATTAGGATCATCATCAAGGTGGCCTCTTCCAAATCACCATGGCTTCCCAAAAAGAGGCGAGAAGGTCAAAAAGGGGGCAAATGCCACCCAAATCAGGCAAAAAGGCCACCCCGGTCCTCTTCCATTTTTTCACTAATCTATGGTCTACCTTTAAGACATTGAGGAAATTTTGAAAACCAGACATGAAAACTGACATTTTCCTTCTTCCACGTAGAATCCTTTCTAAAATGATTAGGGTGATTATTTTCAGAAAATACTTATTTTAAAATGATTATTTTCTAAAATGAATTTTCGAGCCTCATTTTTATCGAGTTGGGCCGTACGAGTCCGAGTCTTTTTCGGGCCAAATATCTTAGACCCGACTCGATCTTTCGGTCCGAGTCGGTCCATTTTGGCAACCTTAAAAATGATTATCAAACGTTTGCAGATTATTTCGATTTTTAAAAAATAAAAATACAAAACCATCCCTCCTGTCGTCAAATATTTTCGAATTTCGAACTTTAATTTTTTTAAATTTCCTCAAACTCATTCTGACTTGTTTAAAATTTTTTTGTTTTTTATAATTTTTAAAATAATTTTTAAAAATTTTATTTCTAGATCCATTTATTGACGATTTATTCAATTCTATACCCGAATTTCCTCAAGATGCTTTTAATGCTTGTTCGCCTGAAAGTATTTCTAGAGCTGATATTAAGGTCTTTTTGAAGGGGAATTCTAAAAAATTTTCAAATTTTTTTTCAGATTTTTTTATTTCGTCTTTCCCAACATTTAAAATGCGAATTTAATATAGAATTTACACTTCCCTGGATATTTTACAAAAAATGTAATTTAAATCATCAACAATTTTGGAGTTTTGTTAAATGTGTAAATAATGAGGGGATAGCCAAGTAATTAAATTTTAAATTAAATTAAATTTTTTGTGGGAAAATTTTAATAAAAATCCGCAAATGTAAAAAGGAAATTAGGTAAGTTTATTTTTATTGTGGAAAAATGTCTCCTAATTTTTAAAATTCTGGTCTGATGATTTTATTTGGATTTTATTTTTATTCTGATTTTTTTAAATTGAGAATTCTGATATTTTTGTTTTCTGATTTCGAAATTCTGTTTTTTCTGAAATCAGAATTCTGGTTTTCTAAAAATAGAGATTCTGATTTTTTAAATTCTGATTTCCTTTTAATTTGAAAATCCTGATTTTCTGGATTTGAATTCTGGTTTTTTAAAACCAGAATTCTGATTTTTTCGTTCTGAAATTGGAAATTCTGATTTTCCGCATTCAGAATTCTGGTTTTCTAAAAATAGATATTCTGATTTTTCAAATTCTGATTTTCTTTTGATTTGAAAGTTCTGATTTTTCGGATTATGAATTCTGATTTCTACAAACTTGAAAATTCTGATTTTTTTTAAATCAGAATTCTGATTTTTTTGTTCTGATATTAGGAATTCTGATTTTCAAATTTTGATTTTCCGCATTCAGAATTCTGATTTTTCTGAACTAAAAATTCTGATTTGTTTAGATTACAAAATTTTGATTTTTATTTTTTTTCTGGAATTTCTGACTTTTTCTAATTATCTCTTAAACTTCCTTAGTTTTTAATTTTTTTCAGCATAAACTTGAGTATTTTAATTCAAATAACAACAGCATTAGAACAAATAAGAGATCCAAATATTGAACAAATATTTTCTGATGATTTAATAAATACAATAAATTTTATAAAAAAATTGGGAGAAGAAAATAATTTTTTAAAAATAATTTTGGAAAGATATTCAAATTTATTAAAAATGTTTATGCCAGAAAATGATTGGATATTTGTTGTTGATAATGAAAATAATAAAATTGAAGCGAAAGAAAGGGAAGAAGAAGAAGAAGGAAATTTAATTGAGAGAGAAGTTGTTGCTGTTGATAAATTGGAGGAAGAAATTAATAAAATTATTGAAGAAGAAAAAAATTTAAATAAAAAGGTAGAGGGAAAATTTAAATTTTTTTGTTGTTATTGTAGTCAAGGGGCAGGGGGTCATTTCACGGTTCCAAAAATTAATCGGTTCCAGTTGTTAAAATTTTGGTGGTTCCTAGAATTGATTCCAATACTTGTGTCCTTTCTTCTTTATGAGAAAAAAAGCGGAGACAATGGGGCGGGGCTTATGGGGGAAACTACACAAGTACCGGAAGGGCCTTTCACAATTCCAAAAATTAATCGGTTCAGTCTTAAGATACTTTGGTGGTTCTTAGAAATGATTCCTAAGACCGGGAAAGTATTAGGATTTAATTGGGGGTTTTCTAATTATCCAAAACGTTTTCTGTCTTCTAGTATTTAATTCTTGTAGAATTCTAGTCATTGTGTCCCTTCCTCCCTTGTAAGGATTAACCGAAGCTTAACTTTTAGTTGATCGTTCTTTGATATTGGGTCGTTCAATTCTTTTAATTTTTGACGAATTTTGAATTTTTCTAAATTTTGTTTTTAATTTAAAAAAAAAATTTTTTAAGCCAGAAAAGCAATTATTGTCAATATCAACACAAACAGACTACCAACAACCACCCCAACAACAACAAAATATCCAACAACAAATTAATCAACAACAACAACAACTTAATAAACAAATTAAAATCATTCAAGATTGGGGAGAAACTAATTTTAATATAAACAGATGGATATGCCACAATGCTATGCTTTACAAAATATTTAATCGAAGATAAAATAAAATTATCTTTTTAAATTTTGACAATTTTTTTTGGTTTTATTATTTTCATTATTTTATTTTTTCAAAAATATTTTTTTATTTCTTGTCTTTAAAATTAAAAAATGAAATTTTATTGGCTCTGGTGTAGTTTAGTAGTCTCTTCAAAGTTTATGAGTCCATTGAAGGTTTATGGGGGAGTAGTCATGGAACTCAACACCTTCATTGGACTCACACCTTGAATATGTATCTCCGAATACATATTTAAAAACCTTGCTTTATAGGCTTTTTTGCTCAGATTGTGAAGAGATGAGAATATTTATTCTTTGTTCCTAATTTTAAAATTTATTTATAAAAATTTAGTAATAAAGGAATATTTTTCGATATGTTTTTAGTGGCCTAAGGGTGTTCCAGAAGTAAGAAAACGAAATAACTAAAATTTTCATTTCTTCAAAAATAGTATACTAATTAAGATTAAAGGCAAAATGTAATTAAAATTAATGAGTTGAACGAAACCGAGAATTGGAAAATTAATTTAAATAATTTCAATAAGTATTAAATAATATAGCAATCTCAAACTTTTATTCTCAACATTTAGACAAAAAGAAACAAATTGTATCGATACGCGGAAAGTAAATTGTTCTCGCCATACTCTAATTTATCATATCCTGGTATAGTATTAGAAGTCTGGAGAACAAACCAAAGTCAATCCAGCTCCCAGACCACGTCCAAGCCTTATTAAATAGAAATACAAATCCACTGAATCCTTCCTTTGTAATTAAAGATCCAATTGCACCATACACGTAATATATAATCGTTCCCAATGACTTTAGATTTTTGTGTCTTCTGAATTAAAGAAAAATAAATGAAAAGAATATTGGGCTTTAGTTCACGAGCTCAATGAGATTATTTATGAGGGTGTAACTATATAATACTTAGGACCCGAGAATTTGACTAAAAATATACCTATCTATCGTTAAGCAAAGTTCAAATATAAGAACCTTTTCTAGGAGTCGAACTCACAGAAATATAGGACCGGCTAAAGTAAAAAATACCATTCGATGATTCTGAACAAAATTACGACTTATGTGTGCCTATGGTTTATGTGTGCCTACTTATTTATGTGCCTATTGTCCGATAATGGTGAACCTATTGCATGTAGTTTTCTTCTGATAGTTTTCTTCTAGTTTTCCTACTAGTTTTCTTCTGATCACTGGGGAATTGAACTTCTAGGATCACGTTAAAGCTATTCTAACAAAACTATAGTTTTATGTAATTAAAGTTGCAAAAAGATCCTAAAAGGTAGATTGTTAGGGATATATATTTAGTGCCGGCTTAATCATCTCCCCCGTTCATCAAAAACGAGTAATAACACATACGATATTATTTTTGTAATGTTATTGCCATTTTTTTCCAACCATGTATGTGCGCTTATTGCATGAGTATGAGGTTCGATTCGTTGACGGAAGGTCATCACATTAACTTTTTTAAAGTTAGTTTTATTGCATTGTGAAACAGTATCATTAAAGCATATCGGGCCATACAGGAACTCATCCCCCTCTAGCCAATATGGGGTTATTAATACATGAAAATGGAATCTAAAACAAACTTGTAAATTTTATTTGGTACTTTTCCGTTATCCATACTGCCTTGCAGATATATTTTTTACGGAAGAAAAAATGCGAACTGGACATTTTCTATTTATTCTTTTTCCCATGTTATATAACCCCAACAGGGTATAACCTATATATTTCTGTTTGATCATTCCCAACTTGATATTTCAACCAAAATCTAATTGTTGAGGCTTTATCTAATTTACGGGTGATGTAACTTATTTAGAGCTTACCCCGGCAAGCCTCTTTTTAGCAATTCCTTTCCAATTCGTTCCGCGCTTTGGTTGTAATTTATTAATTGTATTTCTTCATCTTTAATTGCCTCAAATGCACGGGTTAGCATAACATTTGGCCAATAAAGATCCTTAAAATTGATTATAAATTTTAAACTTTTTCATGTCACGCTTAAGATAAATGAGTATTCTGACTTTAAATCCCAAGGAGACGGGAGCTTGCCAAACCATGTACATAATAAACTTAGAGGAGATGCGTTAAATAACTCATGAACAGTTGATTTTAGTTTTTTAGGCTCTGGGAGTATTTTTATTTCGAAATCTATAACAAAAAATAGATCGACACCCCCGCAGCAGACGTGGGCGAAACGTTTCGTTTCGTTTCGTTGTTTCGTATGTTTCGTATGATTTTTACTGTTTCGTCTCGTTTCGTTACGAAACACTTTTAAATTTGTTTCGTTTGTTTCGTTACGAAACACCTGTGATTTTTCAACGAAACGAAACAATTTTTTAAGCTTTTATTGAAAATTTAAAAAATTTTCGCCTGCGGCGCTGAAAAAAAAAGAATTTCGGCTTCTTGGCTTTCCCAAATTGTCAAAATTTTCGCCTGCGGCGCTGAAAAAGGAAGATAGCAATTACTTATATACTACACTGGAACCGGAACTTCCGGCGAAGCACTAGCTTATATCGCCTTCCTCTCGAAATGGAGATATGGAGACAATTTGGGTAGGCAATGGAGCAAGATGGTGAATTTTTTGGCCTACGGCCTTTCAAAATTTTAAAATTTTTCGTCTGCGGCGCTTAAAATAAAATTTTACTTGAAAAATATTCAATTTTATTTAAAAAAAAGCGTCGCCAAAAATTTGGCTTCGAAAATGATTGACCCCCCCCCCCTTCCCCGAAAATTTTACGGGCCTGGCTTATGGGACACAATTGTTGTAAATAAACCAATAACTAAATCATTTATAAGTCATAGTCGACTAATAACGTATTTGAGGTCGAATAATTTCGAAATAAATGCAGTTTTGAAAATTTTTTGAATATTAAAATGTTTCGTTTTGTTTCGTTTCGTTTCGTAAGATTTTGGTTGTTTCGTTTCGTTTCGTTAACGAAACGATTTTTAAAAAATTTTGTTTCGTTTCGTTTCGTCAGAAAAAAATTTTGAGTTTCGCCCAGGTCTGCCCCGCAGGATCAAACGCCACGGGAAGTTTTACATCTATATATTAGAAAATATACCAATTTCTTCGTAATCCAACTTTGCATAAAAGTTATAATTATAATTCCATGATTAACGCTGCGCTCTTTATACCTTTCTATACTTTCTGGGTCAATAAATGTAGTATTTGTGCAGATGAGTGCGAGATTTATCTAAAAATATTAAAAATCAAAATTAGTCTGTGTGATTAAATTTAATTTTTTACATACGACTTTACTTATGTCTGCCACAATTTTCTCCGACATAAATTGAATTGCAGCTGTTTGTTCCTTGTTTCCTGTCAAAGCACTAGATAGAATACATCTGTCAATAAAAAGACGGGTGTTTATAATTTATAAAAAATCCAACCCTGTGACTTAATTTTGGGAGCCCATAAATCCCTTCAAAAATCGGTGCCCGTTAAATAAATTATTGTTTAATCATTTATTTAGTATACAAGCCTAGCGTTCTTCCTCACTAATCCTCCATTCTATTATCTTTTTCATTGTAGGTTAATCTATAGTGCCGCAATATGTGTTAGTAATTAATAAATTTTTACTGCTCGTTGTGGGAAGTGGCTTCTCTGATTAAATCAAACACCTCGTTTAAAAATACAGTCTTCTTTTTGAACAGTTTTTCAATGCTTAAAATAAAGCAATCATATGATATGAAGAAGAGAAATAGTCTGATACATTCCCATTATAGAGTAGGGTTGTCGGAACCGGATCTCCAGATCCGAAGAAAGGCAGGATATCCGGAAATTTTCGGTTCTGATACAGGATCCGGATATCCTTACTCGAGACACAAATGTTATTAAGGCTCCTATACAACTCATCCAATCCTTAACTCCTTCGGAACGAGACTATCGAGTACCGACGGTTGAGTTTTTGGCCGTGTAGATGAGTTAAGGATTGGATGAGTTAAGGGGACACTGTTATTAATCTCCGAGTAGTTTTCCTCTGTATCCCTATCTAATCTTACTGTATAAATAATGATTAAAACATATCATCTCTCAATGACGCAAGATTTTCTTCGGCTGTTGAATAGTCTAGAGCATATTGACCATCCAAAAATTCTGTAAAAAATTTTTTTGATACATTATTTTAGTGATATATTACTGTTTCTGATTTTTGAGTATTCATCAAGGTAGTCTTTCTCTTCTAATTGGAGATAATTTTCAATGTACAAAAACAGATTCAAAGCTTCGGAGTGTAATTTCTCAATTTCTTCACTTGTTGATTTGCAAGACAGACGAGTTAATCGACTGATTTTCTATTTATTAATTTTTTAATTAAAAGATAAAAAAAGGTTTTTTAAAGTTGTTACTGGTTAGGATTTATAAGCAAGTTTGACTTTACTCCAGAACTGAAAGTATTATTTAATAGTAATTCTGAAAAAATGGTTTAAATTAAAAGTGAAAACCAATGAAGGTTTAAAATTTTATTAAAAGCGATCAGAGAGGTGGAACCAATATTACACTAGTTATTAAACCACTCTGGAAAGTGCGCAAGGTAGATATATACAATCCCCAATATATCAACTAACCATCAATATTTGCTCCGGTCCATTTTCTCCTACACAAGCATTTACGAAAGCCTGTTTAATCGGTACACTTCTGCTAAAGGCTGGGTTCGTTGCATAGTCAACTGACAGACTGAGAGAGGCGATGCGCATTGTTACTTGCTAAATTATTATAAACATTTAATTAAAATTTCTTTCTAAATCTTAATTAATTTAAAATAGGATTGGACCCCGATCCTTCGTGTAAAAGTTTTTGGCGTCTCAGGCGAAAATTTTTGGATTCTCAGATTTTTAAAATAAAAAATTTTCCAATGAAATTTAGAAAACAAAACACTAATACTAAACTCATTTATTTTTGTAGTATACAAAACAGCGTTTGAAGCTTAAGATTTGAATCAATAAGCCAACATTGACTTGATTGAGGTCTAACAAGTTAACCACTAGGCACTCCTTTAAC